AGACCCGCATTTGTTACCCATCCCTAATTGCCCCTTGAGAAGCTGGTGGTGTGCTACCACTGCAGTGAATGTGCTGTGGGTTGATGCCCCTTAGGGAGGGAATTTCAGGATTTTGAGCCAGGGACACTGAAGGAATGGTGATACATTTTCAAGTCAGGATGGTGAGTGGCTCGGAAGGTATCTTGCAGGGGGTGGAGTTCCCATGTATCTGCTGCCCTTGTCCTTCTAGATGGTGGAGGTCACAGATTCGGAAGATGCTGCATAGACATCATTTTTTACGTATGTCTGGTGCTGCTCCTGGTATGGCCTCCTGTACTCTCCATTGAACTCAGGGAGATTCTATAGCCTGATAGTAATGGTAGGGTGGGATATATGCCAGGCTATAAGTTTGCAGTTTGTGTACAATTGTGTTGCTGTTGGCAGCCCACAGCGCCTCCTGGAGGCTGGGGTTTGAGCTGCTTGATGTTATAATTATTTCCTCCTCTGGGCATATTCCACCATTAGTCCCCAACCGAAAAAAAAACCCTCACTCTGCTCACCCCTCAAACTTTACACACGTGGTACACATGTTTGATATGAATCCACTTCATCATCGTGTATAGCATGTGCTCTCCTCAATACAGATTGTTCACAGTTCCCAACCTCTCTGGAAGTCGACAGACCCTAGGGAACAGCATCAAATCTCACTTCGGGGCAAACAGATGAGGGAATAGGACAAATCCTCACCTCAGCCCCCTGGAATGGGCACCGCATATCAGGAAGGTTACGTGGGCCTTGGCAAGGGAAAAGCACTGGTTCGTTTCCTCTTGCATTCAGGGTATGTGAGTCCACCACTTTTAGCTATACCCAAATTCATAGAATCCCTCCACTGTGGAAACAGGCCATTTGGCCCCTGCACTGAACCTCAGCAGGGCGTCCCACCCAGATCCAGTGTAGGCCCCTATCCCTGTAGCCCCACATTTCCCACAGCTAACCCACCTACCCCACACATCCCTGGATGCTGGGCAATTTAGCGTGGCCAATCCACCCAATCTGTGCATCTTTGGACTGTGGAAGGAAACTAATGCAGACACAGGGAGAATATGCAAACTCCACACAGACAGTTGCCTGAGGGTAGAATTGAACCCGAGTCCTTGGCACTGTGAGCCAGCAGTGCTAACCACCGAGCCATCCATTACCCTTCATCAGAATGATACCGGGGTTGAAAGGATGACGGGAAAGTGCATAGATTAGTCTGAAACCCCTGAAGATTACAGCATGATCTAACTGAGGTGTTCAAGATGATTAAAGGATTTGCAGGGTTGGGGTGGGGAGGCAAGAGAGAGAGAGAGATACAGAGACAGTGACAGAGATAGAGAGAGATACAGAGACAGAGACAGAGAGAGAAAGCTGATTTCCCTGGGAAATGAATACAGAACAAAGAGGAATTGGAGGGCTCATAGAGACACTGAGTGATAGAGTCATCAAGTCAGAGAGTGTGGAAACAGATCCTTTGGTCCATGCCAACCAATTCTCACAAACTAAACTAGTCCCATTTACCTGCATTTGGCCCATATCCCTCTAAACCGTTCCTTTTCATCTACCTGTGGGAATATCTTTTAAATGTTGTAATTGTACCAACTTCTACACTTCCTCTTGTTCCATACATGCACCACCCTCTGCGTGAAAAAGTTGCCCCTCAGGTCCCTATTATATCTTTCCCCTCTCACCTTAAACCTATGCCCCTCTAGTTTTAGACTTACCCACCCTGGGAAAAAGGCCAGGGCTTTTCACCTTATCTATACCCCTCTTGATTTTATAAACCTCCCTAAGGGGAGGTGATGGCCTAGTGGTATTATCACTGGACTGTTAATTTAGAAACCCAGATGACATTCTGGGGACCTGGGTTCAAATCCCATCATGGCAGATGGTGGAATTTGAATTCAATAAAAGTCTGGAACTAAGAGTCTAATGATGACCATGAATCCAATGTTGATTGTTGGGGGAAAAAAAAACCCATCTGGTTCACTAATGCCCTTGAGGGAAGGAAACTGCCATCCTTACCTGGTCTAGCCTACATGTGACTCCAGGCCCACAGCAATGTGGTTGACTCCTAACTGTTGCATGGGCAATAAATGCTGCCTAGCCAGCAATGCCCTCATCCCGTGAATGAATAAAAGAACGCCCAGCTTCTGACATTCCAATGAAAACAGTCCTATTCAGCCTCTCCTTATAACTCAAACCCTCCAGTTGTGGTAAAGTCCTGTTAAATCTTTTCTGAAGCCTCTCCAGTTTAATAATATCCTTCCTAAAGCAGGTGTCAGGAAGGTGGAGTAGAAATGTAGAACCCTCCTTCTCTAAAAGCTAACTGTCAATAGAAAATACAAAGGCCAAGACTGAAGAGGTTTTTTTTAGGCACAGGGCTACAGATGGAATTTGAATGGTGGGCTAGGCTGGAGGGGCTGAATGGCCTGTTCTTGGCCTTCTTCCCATCCTCCTCTTGCATTGCATGATTCATCCTTCTGTATGGTTGAAAGGGTCACACACACATAGAATACACCTCTGGCTGCTGCAATAATGAAACAATCAGCAGAAAATCAGTGCACAAAGAAACAGATCTTCATTTGTCGGCAAACACACACAACAACCCACATTTGCGTAGAGTCCCTAAGATAATATCACATCCCAAGGTGCTTCATGTGAGTGTTCCTAAGTAGTGTTTGATGCCAGGGCACATCAGGACAGACCAGGACAGACACTCGAGAGATTGGTCAAAGGTTTAGGTTTTAAGGAGGGAGAGAGATGGAAATGTTTTAGGGAGAGAATTCCAGAGCTGAGAGAGGTGGGTAACGGGATTGGAGAAGGTAAAGGGCATTCAAGGGAGCAAAGTCAGACAAATGCAGAAGCTTTGGAGGGTTATAGGGATATACACTCGAACATTCAAATGAGAAGTAGGCCATTCAGCCCCTCGAGCCTACTCTGCTATTTGATAAGGGCTCAGCTGGTCTGATTGCCTGCCTGGTTCACACCATCCAGTGGCTGCCTTGTTGGCCAGGAATTCATTTACCACTGCCTTAAGATAGTCAATGTCCTGGCCCCCAGCACTCTGCATGGAACAGGATTCCACAGACTCATCACCTTTTCAGAGAAATAAACTTAAGTCACCCTTCGATTCCTCCTCTTCCCGCGCAGTCCCCTGAAAACACTCACCCTGGCGAGAACTGAGGCGGCGAGCTATTTAACTGGATGAGGCATCACAGCCCAACAGCGCTCTTCCTGCCTCCTCCATGTGCGCCGAGTAAAAGCATGAGCTGATCCTCAGGGGGAGTGCCTGTACTCCCCTGAGTGTTAATGTGGTTCAGTTCAGTAAGTACCAAGCAGAGTGGACCACTGAGTGGGGGTTGGGGGGTAGGGAGCAAGGAGGACCCTTTCCAAAGAGCAGGCATCTATTCACCCACAATGGCATCACTAACTTGCATCTCAGTCAGACTCTTTTCCACCATTGACAAACTGTGTGCTCTGTCAAAGTAAATCTCTGGCTCTCTGTATTGACACACTTGACTGAGACCACCACATCCAGTGATAGAACTTCAACCTAGACCTCCCAGCTCTGAGGCAGGGACAATGACAATCGCACTGGAGACCCACCAAAACTGGGTCCGTTCTTGACTTGCGGTGAGCACCGCCCCTTTAAATCATTATCCTTCTGGCTTAATTATTTCATTCTTAAAGGGAAGTTGTCTGCCTTTGAAATCATCCTTGATTGTTGAAAGTGCGTTAGTCCTTGTTAGACACGAGGCACAGACATCACTTTACAACATACTGTATTCCCCAGGCATGTTAAATTATACATTTCTTTCAAAAACTAGGAAGCAGCTTCCTTTTCACAACGTAATGTTGAGATCTAACTATTTTAAAATCGCTGTGAAACTGCTGAGCAGCACTCCTTATGTAACTTCCCACCTCAAAGGCAGATTTAGTGCAGAATTTGGGACCCATTTTAAAACAAAACACTTGAATGAATGAAAGCGGTGTCAGACATGGAGGGGGGGGGAACGCCAAATATAGCTTGACTTCCACAGCCCATTCGGCCCATCGTGTCGGTGGATGTCCATTGCAAAAAGAGTTGTTCTAATTTTATTCTGAGAAGGGAGGAGGGGAAGGAGGGAAGCAGATTGTGGTTTTAAGATGAAGATTGGATGATTCATACATCATTGAAAACATTCAGAGGGCTGTTTTAAAATGTTGGCGCAGTTCGTATATATTTTAAAAGGCAGAATGTTCAAACACAAACTGAAGTCTCTACTGCCGGCACTTTCTTTCCAACGGTTTGCAGCTAACAGAAAACATCCCGTCAAAAAAAAACCCTGAATTATTGTCAAGTGAAGTCTGTACAAAAGTGGGGCAGCTCGTTCAACGTTGAAAAATGTTTATGTCTGTTTACAATGTTATACAAACAAAATTAATTTGTTACAAGACCAGATGTTTAAAAGAATTTAAAGAAAACAACAATTTGGAAGGGTCACTGGACCCGAAGTGTTAACTCTGATTTCTCTGCACAGATGCTGCCAGACCTGCTGAGTTTTCCAGCAATTTCTGTTTTTTTTTTGTTAACAAAATAAAACCGAAAGAACAGCGGATGCTGTAAATCAGAAATAAAAATAGAAGTTGCTGGAAAAGCTCAGCAGGTCTGGCTGCATCTGTGGAGAGAAATCAAGAGTTAACGTTTCGGGTCAGAACTCAGCATTCCTTAGAATGTCTGTTTTTTTTTGTTTGTGTGTAGCAATTTGGAGGCAGTATCTGTGGAGAGAAATCGGAGTTAACGTTTCGGGTCAGAACTCAGCATTCCTTAGAATTTCTGTTTTTTTTTGTTTGTCTGTAGCAATTTGGAGGGTTGGTTGTCGTTTGCAACGGTGGTTAGTAGATGGGGTGTGTGTGTGTGTGCCCTCAATGCTTGATGTTAAAGTCAGTGATTACAAGGGGAGAGGGAAGCAGGGGGGGATGGAGAAATATGCACTTACCAGATACCTCCTGAGGCTGTTAGCTCCTGTTTCTCTAAAGCTGGGATACAAGCTCTCCTCGCCGTTTAAATCCCAGTTGAGCTGCCCAGGCTCCGGTCTGCCGCTACCGGAGATGTGAAGAGCCTCTTGCACTATGTACTCCTGCCTCTGCCTTAAGATTTGGAGCTCCCTCAGACCGGCCAAGCTGGCTTCCAGTCGCTCTTTGTTCCTGCTCCGGTCCAGGTTCACAGGGAAAGAGAAAGCCGGGAGCATCTCGATATTCCAAGGAGAGAGGGGGCTGGCGAAACAATGCTTTTTTTGAAAAAAAAGAAGGCGGATAAAAATATAAAGCCTTTTTCTCCAGTATATGTGTGTGTGTGTGTGTGGTCAGCACTGTTTCTCAGCTACGCTGAGTTCCCATGTGTAGCGTTTGGATACTGTATCTCTGGGCAATTGATACAGTGTGTGCGTGTGTGTGACTTTTAGTCAATATCATTCCGGGGAAACTGACATATCGAGGGGCTGTGTCAGTCAATCGATTATTAACATACAAGTCCCGTCCCCCCATTCCTTCTGATTCGCTGGTTTGGTTCCCTGATTACATCACTCTTCAAATGCCTTAAACCAGGTCCCTTTATAGCAAGCCATTGGAATGTCTCTGTGTGTTACACAGACACTGTTACAGTCTGTCTCTGATTATTACTTCCTCTCTCTCTCTGTCTTGTTTCTAGGCAGCAACTTGCTTTAATCTCTCCCCAGCTCTCTCTCTCCATCTGCTAAGACGGGTGGGCAGAGGGGGGTTTGTGGGTGGGGGGCGCGGTGTAGGAGTGGCAGGGGTTGGTGTTGAAGGCTGGGTCTTGGAGGGAGGGAGAGGGAGAGCAGTCACGCTGCGAAGCCGGATTCGAGCAGCAAGCGGTGATTCACGGTAAGGCCGTTCTGTCTGGGGCTGGGGGTTCCAGGTATAGGGTCTGGTCGGTACTAACGGGAGGGAGGGA